TAGAGCCGTAGATCTTCGCAGCAGCTAAGAAATGAGCAAGTGTATCAGCCACAGTCTCGCGGCCTTCTTCGGCGACGACTTTCTTCGATAGTCGTAGAGCTGTGCACCTCTGCAACAGGAAAGAGGTGGGGTTGTGCATCAGCGACAATCTCACGGTCTTTCTCTTTGGTGATGAATGATTGACGCAGTAACGCAGCTATGGCAAACAGCGCGGTGACCACACGAAGAGAGTTTCGCGTTGGGCACGAGACTAACATCGGGGAGTGCCACGTTCACCCATCACATACGTATACAAATCTGAGTCGTTGGCATAAGACCCAGTAAAGCTCCTTGACTTCTGCTCTGACTCGAAGTGCAAGTCTTGACAAGCGAGAAGTGTTTACTGTCGAAGTTGACATGGGAGAAGAGATTCGTGTGTTGAGCACAAGACTAAGAGCGCAGAACGCGTCGATCCCCAGTCACAAAAGTATACGGACTTAAGTCGTTTCCATCAGGGCAGAGTGCGTGGTGATAGATCATGACGCAAACTTCAAGAGGGAGCCTGAACAGCAGACTTTGCCTGAGCGTACTGGGCGGGCGAGATTGATAGCATGCAAGACTATCTGCCGCAACTCCGGTGATGATTTGCTCTGCTCTGCTGATTTATATGCGCTGAGGGGAAGTCTTGTCGTAGTCTTCAGGCATTGAATCAGGTCTTCCAACAGACTTGACATCGACATCGTCGCAAGCACACCTGACATGGGTGTCGGCAACAGCAGATTTACGCTGCTTGATGTGCAGAGGCAGAAAAATCACGTCGTTGACTTCTTCGAGAGGAGGCAGAGAGGCTGAGACGTTGTTGGGCTCGAGAGGGAGCTGGAGCAGAGGACTGTCGCTGCCCAGACAAGCGTTTTCTTGAGAAGTAGGTACGCTCGTACTGTCAAAGAGCAGACAAGAATGAGGTCGTAGACGACCACCTGGTTGCATCTCTATGAGTTCAGACCCACAGCGTCGCTCAATTGTGTCTCAGGAACTGGAGAAGCAGTATATATCAGGACAGATGTTGAGGGTACCAGGATATAGGGTGACCACGATGTCCGGCTCATCTCTGATCTGGAGGAAGTCAGGAGGGAGAGACCAGCGAAGTATATATATATACATCAATGCTGAGAGAGGCGATACCAGACCCACTCACGCTCCAATACAGTAACGGGAAGAAGATGAGACGAGCGAAAAATCAAATCTGCGAAGATGATCAGTATATATATCCAGGCCGAACAAAGAAGAGCTTTTCCGGAGCTTTCCAGATTCTACCACACACTCAAACCTTCCACAAACTTCAACTCTCATTGTGCATCGATTGCTTGGAAAGTTTGCTTGTTGGACTCTGTGAATCTTGCATAGAACCAATGCCCGGAATCAGAGCCAAATATTTGTGGTCGATATTGGATGTCAGTCACTGATTCAGAATAGAGGACACTATGATGCAACAGATATGGCGAGGATCGAACTTGCGTGTAAAGATTGTGGACTTCGTAAACAAACTACAGTCTTCCATACTATAGCCACAATGATACAGTGCTGAACGTCTACATTGGATGTCAATCTTGCGATCAAAGAGAAAGCTACAAACCAGCAGGAGTATGCCGGAGAACCGTGGATGACCAAAGGTCCATCTAATTTTTTCTCTTATTGATCGAGACTTCTGCATCAAGCGAACAAGAAAGCAAAGTGCTAATGTCCAAGCCTCATGGATCCAAAGCCTTCAACCTCAGTCTTCCTCAAGAGCAGCGAAACCAAATTTGTCAGGAACCTGACCTGTAAGCATTTCAACCCAATCATCAGAGATTGAGTAGACCTCAAGCTTTGCTGCGGTCATTCTGTCTATGACAGCCTGGATATCGGACACCATACATCCAGTGCGGCGTAGATCCCAATGCTCCATAGTCAGCAATGTAGCATTGTCAGTCGTTTCTTTGGAAACGCAAGCCAAGAGTTTGCGAATTGCACAAGGGTGTCCAAGCAAGATCTGGGGACGCTCGGAGACACAGCGTGCGAGCAGTTCTTTGGTGTCCATGGTATCTTCCACCTTGATGTATGTCACAGCGATGCCCCAGGTCAGACAAGTCAAGAATTGCGCTGCCTGTCTGACACCCATAAATCTCGAATGGAAGAACAGTCCCACTGCTGCTATGCCCCGCTTTCCCTTCTTGATGTGAATGTGTGCCGCTCTGGCCAGCTGCACCGCTAACAACAGCAGTCTTGCTGAGGCCACTGCTTCGATGATGAGTGATGGCTTTCTGGTAGGTGGTTGCTCATACAGAGTCTTTAGCACAAGTGCGAAATGCTTGGGCATACTCGTGATGTTCATGAGCCATAAGATCTCCAGGAAATCGGTTCGTGGAGCGCCAAAGTATTCGATGACATCTTCAATAGGATGCCCATGCAAGTATCGTCTGTTCAGATCTGAGTCCGCGTCAAGCATACTAAACACTCATTGGTCAGCAATCTTTCAAACGTGGATCTCTAGTGTTGTGTAGAATCGGCTCACTCGCGTAGGTTGTCATCAGAAGCTGCAAGCCACAAATCGATCAAATCAGTTGGGCTTTTCAGCACGTAGGTTGTTTCGGGTATCAGAGTTGGGAACTTCTTGTTGAGAGCAAAGAGTGTAGGATCCTCGATGAGATGATCGGTGACAACAGAAACCTCGGAAACATTTGTCTCACGCTCGTGAGGATCAGGTGCTAATTGTTCGGACATCCCGCCGATAAAGTGTCGAAGATGCGCCAGAAGATGACCGCGAAAGATGCTGATGGTGACGCGAACCAGGACTTGTGTGGGCGCGCGAGAATGACGCAAACACCAGATAGCTTAATGAAAACAAGCGAGGTCAAGAGCCGCTGTGAAGGAGGTTGAGATCCAAAAGTCCACTAAGACAGTGCACGTAGGATTGGCTTATCGAAGAGGCTAAGCACTGCGAGGTAACCACCTCCTGGTGGTTGGTGTAAAGGAGGAACAGTCCAGATAGATTGAGAGGCAGAGAGAGGCGAACTTGCTGTGGATCTAAAGCGAGGCGAAAGCAAGCACAAAGCAAAGCAAAGGTCTCAGGATGATCAAACAATTTCGAAGAGGGTTGGGTCAAGAAGGATTGACTTTCGCTGTCGACCAACGCGTTGGGTAAGAGTGTGCTCAATCACACACGTTAGGTTCAGCAGCCACGACTTCTTGGTCGCAGTGTCGTGTCTCAAGGTAAACAAATAATCCTACGAGATGTCTGTAGAATTGCACAATGGTTTCCGGAACGGAGATGTGTCTGAGGAGAGTCAACACAACTGTGAACTCCCAACACATAACACTGTTTTCTGACAGTGTTGTGCATATCTATAGCTGGTCTGCAAGCATTCAAGATCTGATCTGGACCACAGCTGGTCGTGACCCAACTCGAAGAAGAAGATGGTTCCAAGACCACAACCAGGCCGCCATTCACAATTGATATGAAACAAAAGACAGGATTTGAAGAGGCCGGAGACATGGGACGGAAAACTTTTGTGATGTAGGAATGTGTTGAACAACGAAATCACATTTACCTACCAGTCATGACAGCAACAAAGTTATGCCAGAAGCCTAGATCGTAGATATTGTCCACCATGTCAAGATTGGTGCATCTCTCCCAAAGCTGTTCTTGTCCTGTAGGAGCCTTTCCGTCTGTCGTGCTGACGATGATCTGATCGCTGTGCTTAGGCCAAGGAATGTACTCCTCTTCATCTTCTTCAGAATCTGATACTGGACCAGCCATTCCACTTAGTCGATTGCGGTTTCGCAGATGGCGTGCTTTTCGCTCCTTGTTGTGGGCTTCGACCACACTGCGCTTTCCTATCCATGCTACACCGTCTGTCATGTCATCTCGCCAATCAGCCCATTTGGCACTTTCGTTGGTTGTCATGCCAGCCCAGATGAGATAGATGTGATATGCGAGGAGTGCGAAAGGCAAGGGCATAGTAGTGATGGCAAGGAGACCCACACCAGCGACACTGATGCCACCAATGCTCATAGCGAAGACAAAGGCATTGCCCAACTCTGCCCAGTATTGCTTGTCGAACCAGCCATAGTTCGAGTGACCGAGATGAAGGTGTGGAGATAGAATTGTCCAGGACAGATATGCGCCGTAGAGTTCTACGATTCCAATACTCAGAAGCAAGAGCAGGAAATAACGGTAGTTGTGCCTTCCAACACAGTTGTTGATCCATGCACAGTGGTGATCACATCTTGCGACACATACACCACATAGCGAGCAGTGTTTACTTCTTGCAGGTTTTGTGAAGTTGCAGGTACGGCAGATGTGGTCGGGACGAAAGAGGATATGGTCGTAGGGGTATTGTCGCATTGCTGAAGCATGATTTACAGGATTGATGTAGTCGATCTTGCTCGTGACGCACAGATAGGTAAAGATGTAAGGAGCCAGCAGCACCAGGGGGATTGGCAGGATCAAGTTCGTGTCGAGATGAGGAAGGGTGGCACGGAGGAAGAGGGTTGCACTGCCTGTCAAGAGGCCGAGGAACAGAAGTAGTACAAGCGGGTTCTTTTGGTGGAAGAGGTAGTTGCTCAGGCGTGCTAGGTTGGTGTTCATGCGGCCACCAGTGTAGCGAGAATCGAAGCGGCGGAAGGCATTAGGGATGTAGATGCACAGAAGCCTGTGACTGAAGCCGATGGGAGTTTTCCGTAGAGCTGGCAGTCGACCAAAAAGAGCTATGAAAGTGAAGAGGGATATGACGACCACCAAGATGATGGTGTTACGGAAGGCGATCATGATATCTTGAGACTGTTTTGCATCTTCATGTCGATGGGCATTGACATGTGAAGAGAGTCGTTGTTGAATATTGACACGGAAGCCGCTTGAGGAAGGCACGACTGGCACGTCACTTTGGCCGAAAGTGGAGAGATTCGGCTCGAACGCGTGCCGTCGCGTCTCTCGACCAGCAGCCTGACACCATCCATCGACTCGACACAAAATATTCTTCGACATGCCGCCGGCCATTGTGTACACAGACATGGCCGACTCGGCTAATGTCCAGGGCAGTGTATTTGCTGACAAGAACTTCTTCATCGTGCAGCGTGTGCCGCAACGCTCACATTACATCTCGCTGGTCGAGAGTAATGGCGGCAGAGTCGTCAAACTCGAGGCCCAGGCCGACTACCTCATCGCCGACCACATGCGTCACGATGCCCCTGCTGGCTCGCTGAGTTACAAGTTCATTGAAGAATCCATCAAGCAAGGAGAAATGCCCGAGGACGAATCTGCTTTCCTCGCTGGACGCCGTAAATCCGCAAACCCCGTCACTACTGCTGTCGCATCATCTTCTAAGAAGTCGACAAGGACCCCCTTCACTGACGATGATGACAAGTTGCTGTACAAGTGGGTTCACAACGCTAAAGAGGAAGGACTGGCTACCCAGGGCAACTCCCTCTATCAAGTACTCGCCGCCCACAACCCAAGACACACCTATCACTCATGGCGTGACCGCTACCTCAAGGTCCTGTCCACAAGGCCTCCACCTGGCTGGGAATCTTATCCCGACGAGGACCTACCCGCAATCGACTCATCCATCGCCGACATCCCTTCGACTGCTGTCCCTCGCTCTACTGCTGTCAACAGATCTGCTTCCCGCTCAGCCTCAGCAACAAAATCTCCTTCCAAAGCCCGTATATATACACCCTTCACTNNCCAAGAAGATGATGAAGAATTGGAAGCTTGGGTGAGGAAACAGGCAGGACTCGGAGCTTCAATCAATGGAAACGCCATATACAAAGAGCTGGAAAAGAGGAATCCGCGTCACACTTTTCACTCTTGGAGAGATCGCTGGGTCAGGCACCTTTCGCTCAGAGATCCTGTGGATGAGGAAGAAGAAGATCTTGAAGATGCACATCCTGTCGACGAAGACCACGCTTCTGCTCGACGTGATCCTTCACCTGAGCCGCCGATCAGCAAGCCACCAGTGAAGCGCTCAACTTTCAGGGTTCCACCGGGAGCATCTGCATCTGCAGACAGTTCCAAGAACACCACTCCACGACCAGACATCCCACGTACCACTGTGAGTACGAAAGAAAAAGCAACGAAACCCACATCTCAAGCCGCTGCACAATCCCCTGTTGCCGCTCGTGAACAGCTTGCTATGGATACTGTCTCTCCACCGACTGCTACTGCATCGCGTCCAGCTGTGACATCTAAGAATCAGGCCAACACACCCATGGCTAGGACTCGTAACTTGAGCTCACCTGTCATGTCCCAACAACCTCAACCGCAACAGATACACACACAAGCTTCTCGTCCACCAATTCGTCATCGCGCAATACAAGCAGATTTTGGTGCTCAGTTTCATGACGACTCGACTTTCACGGAAGAAGATTCCAAATACCTGCTGCGTATGGCTCTTGAAATACAAAATGTTTGTGTAGGCCGCTACCAGGAATCTTGGATCAACTTCGCGAATCACAACAAAAATCACACTGCAGTCGAGTGGCGTTCTTTTTATGAAAAGCGTGTCTTGCCTGTTGCCCTGCANAAAGAGCAGGACCTTGAACACCTCAAGGAGCAAGGCGACAAAGGATGGATCGAGTTCTGGGAACATCAGGGTCAACCTATCACAACTTTGCCATGCATTGAGCAGAATATCACTTCTGACATCCGACCAGCACCTATCAGAGCTACCGAACCTGAAGGAGAGTCACTGCCTCACGCCTCAGGAGCAGGAAGCACAGAACAGAACGAAGAAGTGGTGGATACAGTGAACCATGCCGTGAAAGCCAGAAGGAACGGCTCATCGGAGTCTGTCAAACGAAAGCAGCAGATTTCTGTCGACGGTGTGGAAGAACAACCACCTTCCAAACGTCGACGTACAGCAACACCGCCTTCTGTGCCAAGCAAGATCCTTACTCCAGCCGAGACTACCGAACAACTCGACGCTGACGAGGTAGTCAGCATCGCCAGCAAAGATACGCCATCACCAAGCTACCACTCGGACGAAGAAGAGGAAACATCTGAAGATCAAGCGGCTGAACAATTACGACGTGAGATGGCGGAAAATAAGGACAGCCGTCATCAGCTTACAAGAGCCAACCTTGCACGTATCCAAGCAGAGAATGGATCGTCTGAAGAAAAGCGAGGTCTGGATATAGAGGAAGATGATGAAGAGGAAGATCAAGCCGATTTTGCCACCTACCTTGCAAGCATGTTACCACCAGGCATGAAAGACAAGGCACTTGAAACTATCGAGACGAACGATCATCAAATGGAGCAAGACGATGAGGGCGAAGAGGATGAAGATGACGAAGACATCATCATGTCCAACCAAGACGAAGCCGCGCTCAACTACAACCCAGCAGACCGTGAGATCGACCCAGACCTCGACAACCCCTCCTACCAATCCTCTGCCGAGTTTCGCGCCAACAATTCGAACATACACCTCGAAGCCCCTCCCACCCAAGCCTGGGATGTCTCTTCAGCACCTTCACAATCACAACCCCAACGTCAAAGACTATCCACCCAAGCAATCTATGACGCTGAAACCCAAGCTTTCGATGCTGAAATCCCTTCACCACCTCCGGGAAATGTAGAAGAAACCCAATCCTACGCCACAGCAAACACCGACTCTCAAATCCTGAGCACCGACGAATTCTGGCCTTGGATCGATGCACAAACCGCTGCTGGATACATTGAAGAAGACGTTATCTCAGCACTACGCCAGACATCGTTTAATCCCAAACTAGCCTCGGTGGTCCTAGAAGCCAAAGCTAGGGGTGCAGAATTAGATATTGCTGGTGTATGGACAGAAGAAGAGGACAAAATGGTCGAAGGAAGAGACGGCAGAGCATTGAGGAAACTACAGAACAAGCACGGTGCGGTCCGCGTGGATAAGAGACTGCAATTCCTCAGTGATTGGAGAAATGATGAGAAAATCGCGAATCAGGGCGAGTGAATGATGGACTTAGTATAGGTTACATGAGATTTTTTTCACTTTTTGTGCTGGAGAAGTCCATCTCCCTGGAACACCCTCGTACTAGTATACAATTATGCATTTCGGCAGCTTGGTGATCGAGATGTCCTGTGCGATGCGAGAGAGCCTGCAAGGAAACAATTGTCTCAGCCCCAGTCTATATAATAATATGACCTTTGTTTCTTTTCTACTGTTTTGTGCTGGAGAGGTCTATCTCCTTGGAACACCCTCGTACTGGTAAACAATTGTGCATTTCAGCAGTTTGATGATTTGAAATGTCTTGCGCGAGAGAGCCTTAGATAAACGAAGCACAGCTAAATGAGAAGATACAAAGTTTGGAGATGTGAATGCTGCATTATAATATCGATATATGTACAAAAATAGTCTAAACAAATATCTTTGGTAAAAGAGGAGAATCCATCTTCTCATGAAATCTACACCATTAAGGTTTAGCTCCAGCAGCAGGAGCAGCAGTGTGGCCAACAGCGACATTAGAAGCAGCACCTCGACCACCACCTCTATTCCTACCTCCCCTTGGTCTAGAGGTCTGTCCTTGTGTTTGCGGTATAACCTGTCCATTCCCACTTCCTTCTTTCTTCTTCTCTTGATGCTGACCTTGCTTCCCACCACCACCACCACCACCACCTCTTCTCCCTGCCTTCTTCTTGCCAGAAGCACCACCACCCACTTGCTCAGAAACCTTGCCTTCAGCAATCAGTCTCGCAAACTCTTCGTCTTCTCTCATCCTCGCTGCTTCTTTATCCCACCACTCTTGAAACTCTTGCTCAGCTTGGATTTCCTGCAGACTTCTTGCTGCGGCGGCTTCTTTGATGATGTCTTTTCGTATTGNCTGCTGTTCGAGGATTTCTTGGAGGGAGAGTTGGAGGGCGGGTTCTGCGGCACGAGGGTTGTGCACGATAGAGGAAATGGAAGGGAAGGATTGGGATGAGAGGTCTGGAGGAGGCGGAGGTGCTAGTGTTGATGCGGCGGTGGTTGTTTGGTGTGAGGGTTTGCGTTGTGGTTGTGGTTGAGATTGATGAGGTGTGGGTGTGGGTCGAACGGGTAAGGAAGGACCTGCTTGAGCTTGGATACGCGGTGATGCTGGGACTGGCGACTTGGCTCCTGTTTGTGTCGATGGCGCGCGCTGTGGGCCTAGTCTGGGAGATGGGTGACCAGATGTGATGGGTGAACCGGGACCTAAACTCTTAGGTGAAGCAGCAACGGCAGCGGCAGGCTTGGGTGAGGGCTTAGGGTTGGCGATGGTTTGCCGCATGGTCAATTGAGGAGTAGTGCTTGTACGAGTTGTTGGTTGAGGTCTGCTCGACGGACTAGGCGAAGGTAGCTTATCCCCAATGACATCCTTCAGAGAAGGTATCTTCTGACCAGAAACGACCTGCCATGGTGAGGCCACCTTTGCAGCGATTTTCTCCTCAATCTCAGCTGCTGCTGATTGCTGAACTTGTTGCATCCTCTTGCGTTCTTTCTGCGACATTTTCGCAGCTGATCTCGCTGCTGAAGCATCCTCAGATGCCTTCTCTCGACTGGCTGCAATACCCAACGAAAGGTTAGATACACGACTTGAAGATGCTTGTGCCATGATATCCTTCATTTCCAGCTTCGCACCAGGCGAAGGAGTTGCTGCCCAAGGAACGCTTGAAGAGCTTGCGGGCGTGGCAGGTGTCATACCTGGGAGACCACCTTGCTTGGGTGTGGCGGCGTGTGGTGTGATCGGCTTTCCCTTAGAGTCGACCCAGGAATCTGTAGGAGTCCCAACTGCAGTGTCTCTGCGTAGTGTCCTCTCAAACTCAGTCTCGGCATTCCTTGAGGGTGCACCATTGAGATCAAGTGGTGAGCTCTCTTCAAGACTTGTGCCCAAAGACGGCACGGCAGCTTTCACTCTAGGAGTGGAGTCAACTGCGGATGACTGGGCATCCCTGGACTTCCTTCGAGCCTTTTGTTTTCCATATGCGCTATCTTCCAAGCTGCCGCCTCTGAAAGAGTTTGGACCCCAACCATCCAGATCTTGGTGCTTGGTATGTAGCATGATCGAATCCAGCTTGATCCGGCGATCACGGTCAATCAAAGCAGCAAGCTCTGGATGGCGCTCGTGTAGAAGAGCCTCAGCCCGACCACTCTTGGCGAAAGGCATCAGAGCAAGCTGGTTGGCGCGAACAATATCGTCCAGCTCTAAGAGTAGATCTTCATCGAGCTCATCCAGCAGACCACCTTGAAGCATAGCTTCCAGACTCAGACACAAATATTCGAGACTTGCATCTTTGAATTCTGTAACAGAGCTGGGAGCAATGGCATTGAGCAGACCACAAACATTGCGAGTGGTGACATGTTGGCCAACGACTCTTTGACAGACTTGAGAAAGACGATCCAACATGAGCTCGTTCGCAACAGCCATGACTTCCATGACAACGTCCAGAAACTCATCAAGATCAGCACTGACGATGTCATCGAAAAGCTCTTCCCCAGTATCCGCATAGATGTGGCGGAGGACCATACGGAAAATTTCGGTCTCAATATGCTGCAGGTCGACATCAATGGCATCGGAAGCATTTTGCAAGAGGCCACGTCTTTCTTCAAGCCAACGACCACCAGCACGTCCCATGAACATACCCTCAAAGAAGGGACATCTCTGGCATACCATTGGTCCATGAACCAGTACTTCGCCATCGCTCAGCTGAACTCTGATATCGCCATTGGCAAAGTAGTCCTGATCTCTGGCAGCAATCTCGAGATCCATGGGCAAACAACGTTCAGGCTCGATCATTTGCCTGACTGCAGGCTCTAACTTGAGAAGTTCGAGTTTGGCAGCAACTTTCATCAACTCAGTGCGGACTTGTCGGTATCGGAATGCCATCGGTGAACGTCGAGTATGATGCCAAAAGTCGACAATAGTGTCGGTGTAGCAATACAGAAGGAAATCGACCAAGGTGAGTACATCAAGTCCCTGGAAGATCATGACAGGTCGACCAAGAGAGTCGCGCTCACAGATCAGAAGGTCAGGGACGATAAAGTCACCACCATCTCGAAGAGTCTGGAAGCCTGCTCTAAGCACTCTACTTCGTCCCGCAAGAACGAATTGATGAGCAGGGAATCGAAGGTCGGATACATTGGATGCAATGATGGCATCAAACTCGCTGAAGTTCTCATTCGCCGCCTGGCGTAAGTGCTCTTCGATGTCCTTTTCGATATCCTTTGACTCGAGTAGATGCTTGCGAAGGATCTGTACTTCATCAGGCTTCTTGCGACCCTGCCAGAAGCGAGGCTGCGGCTCCTCACTTTCACTGTCGTGAACATCCTCATGGACAATGAGGTCGTTGAAACAAAGAAGTGGGAACAAGTCTTTCCAGATAGTCTGCTCTTGCACCAGTGTCTGAGTCTTTGTAACATCACAATCTCTACGGACGGCAGCGTAGGCACCATACGCTGAAGACCTGACTGCAGTAACACGAGAAAGCCCAGCGATACGAGAGAACTTGTAGTCTTTGGGCTTGTACTGGACGGCATCCAAAGACTTTCCGTCCTTGATCTTTGTTCTTCTTGATCGTTTCCAGACACTTCCTTCTTCAGTGGTCAGAATGATGGAGCCGTCAGCATCTACACCAACATCGCGAGCAGCCATATTGTTCTTCTTCAAAGACCAAATCTCTTGTGGCGCAGATAATGCTCCTCTTATCTTTGTCGGATTGGTCGTGGATGCGTTGGCCTGATCTTGACGTTGACTGACAGATAAGGTATAAACCTCACCACTACTGGACATGGCACAAATGGTGTCACCACCTGCGGTGATTTTGCTAATGTGGTTGACAGTATCATCATATCGAGTAACGCGGAAGCTGTCTTTCAAGAAACTGCTTGAGCCGTCAAGAGGGAATTGAATCTTCGCATAACCATAGTTTGCAAAAACCCAGACGTCGTGGTTTTCCAGAAGACAGACAGTGGCACGGTCGATGGCAGCGACTGAGACGATTGGAGCAGCAAAGCGAGAAGCTGCAACCTTTCGAGGAGTGATTTGATACTCGAGAGAGCGAGCGTCAGAATCGACTATGCCAAGCTGGCCCTCGTTTTTGCCGAAAGTATAGAGGGATGTGGAAGTGTATGCGACTGAGTGGATGCGGGATGCAGCGACACCAATCACGATCTCGCGCTTGAGGGGACCGAAGATTTGTGCAGGTACGCAGCTCACTGGATCTTCGTCCTTGATACCAGTCTTGGGCAGAGTGTATCCAAGTTGACCGTAGCCGTTGCTGCCCCAGGAGAAGACCTCTCCCCGGTCGTCAACAGCCAGGGTATGGTTTTGACCGAGTGCAACAGTGGCAATCTTTTTCCGCGACAAGGCGCCACCCTCGATGCAGACAAATCTGAAGCGCGATTGTTCATCCCCTACACCTAGACGACCTCCAGGCCCATGACCGCACATGTACAGGTTTGACTCTGGATCGGTAGTCAAAACTGCTGTTGAAAGCTTGGACATGAAGACATCCTGGATGATCAAAGGACGGTTCTTAACTGCCCAAGGCATAGAGTCCACGGGTAATGAGCGTGGCAGAGCGGAGTGGCCTGTCTGTGTGATGACAGGATCGAATGTAGCCCATGTCTTTTCATATTCTCGAACGTGCTCGCGGTAGAATCGTTGCAGCAAGTGGTCCGGACGTTTCAGTGTAATGCGCTCCGGATATTGTCTATCATCCCCATCTCCAAAGCCCAGAGTGATATTCTTGTTGCTTCCAAAAGTGTAGACTTCATCGCCGGAGATGTTTGTCGCAAACTCGATGACTCTTGGTCTGACCTCTTGATCATCGCTCATCATGACTTCTTCCTCGCTGGCGTCGGACCCAGCTCTAGGTCGTTTTTGTCCTTCAGGTCGCAAAGTGCGATCTTTAATTGTCGCAGCGTATAGATCCAAGGGACCTAGGCCTTCACGATCCTTTATCTTGACCAAACCTCCTCCTATTCCCCTACCAAGAGCATCTGAAGTGTCCCTCTCGATGATTGCGCGAGCAATGGTGATGTTTCCGAAATAGAAGGCACGATGTAAAGCAGTCCAAGAGTTCTCGGCGTCTTGTAAGTACAGGTCGATAAGCGGATGCTCAACAAGAGCTTGGGCGAATTCGAGAGCATTCTCAGACGTCGAGGAGGCGGCATGGTGAAGGAGGGTCATGCCATTCGCATCACGCCAATTGATGTCAGCCTTGGTGAGTGGAGGCATGTTTCCAGCATGTGGCGAAAAGGTCGAAGGCTTGCGTGCCTTTGCGGTGAGTGTGGGCGAAGTACTCAAGGTACCGGGACTCGAGCTCACGGCGGCGGGAGTCTGCATGGACTGAGTCCTGTTCTGGTGTGGACGGACATTGTACGAGGCCGTCTCGAGTAAATGTCGAAACCGGTCGACATCATCCTGAAGATAGTACTTCCACAAATGGCTGCTCATGTGCCGAGATTGAATGGTCTGGCTCTGCGACACCTCGCGATGATCACTGGGGATCAAGGCGTGTTTAAAGGTGTATGGGCAGTGCCAACGGGGGAGAAGAGGGGGAGGAGAGAACCGGTGTTCGGTTCTGATCGATCAGGCAGAGGGTATTTTGGTTGCGATGGCGGCAAGGGCGAGTTTGTGTGTGGTAGGTAACGATTCGAGCGAAGCTGTGCGAGTGGCGACTGCTGTTTCGGGCTGAATGCGCTGACGGTTCTGGTAGTCGCAAAGATTGTTCTTTCTGATACAAGCGGTTGTACAGCTGCGGTTTGCAAGCTTGAAGGTCCGAAGTGGTGGACGAAGTGATGCGAGATGTGTACAAGACGATGTTGGCGGCCATGGAGGGGTCACGAACAATGACGGGCATGTGGGATGCTACGGCTCGGACCAATCGTCAATCGTTCCGCCGGCATGAGGACCCATACTGCCTCCTGAACCACTCCCGGCAAGCAATAACACCACCCACATGCCCTTTTCATTGTCACCTGCTTCTCTCCAGGAACAATAAACTCTTCTCTAGCCCCTCATACCCCTCTCATCTTTATTGAGCATCCGAGGGCGTATACAATTGTCATCTTGGCGTTTCTGAATGCGGCGAAGCCTCATTACCGAAGCCAGGGTGGTAGAGGTGACATGAATATTTTGCGTTCTACAATCTCTGAACATGCTGAGGTATGCAATCAAAATGCACAGTTGCGATTGTGATATTTTGGTCTTCAATAGTTTCAATCTGTGAGTCTGTGGAGGCGACATTCTCTGTGTATTTATCGTGCATCTCTACAGCTACTTTCTGATGGTCTTTAACAAATTGAGAGATCATCTATATGAGCTTTAGGAGATCTTCCATCGAGAGTGCCCGCTCATCATCAAACCCAGCATTTTATTTCCAGGTCTCTGATTCCTCCAACTTGATAAAGGCAATCTGATTATAAGTCAGACGAACATGAGCCCAGACCCTTAACTTCAAGCTCATGTAATGAGGTTTGGTCATGTTCGTGCTTAGTCAGCCACGACCACTGATCGCGCTTTCCCCATACGCACAACCAACCTCGAGCACTTGAACATCGACATCCAAATCATCAAAGTGAATGCAATACAAACTATAGCTCCGTCAGCGTCAATCCACTACCAAGGAAACCCAGGATTGACCTTTATCGACTGCACTCACCACCAAAAACCCCCACGCCAAAGACAACCACAATGCCAGAGATACTAACCACACTCCCCTTCAACCTCACCTTCTCCACCACCTACCTAACCCCTCCTTTCATCTTCACCCTCTCCATACTCTCAATCCTGTATTTTCTAACCCTATCTCCTCTACCTCCTACCCCGTCTTTCAGTCTCGATTACCTCCTCCACTTATCTTCTATTTTCTTTCCTCCTCTCAGCCACATATACTCTCTATGTATTGGCTACATTCTCTGCATCCTTGTTTTGCACTCCGCTGTTCCTGTTGTGCCTTTTGTTGTTGCAGCTTGGTATACAGTTCTGTACGCTTCCACAGCCCTGAACACACGCCTTGGCAATGGTGCAGCCCGAAAAGTCATTTGGAGTGACCAAATAGCTGTGGTGACGGGAGGGGCTGGCGGATTAGGGTATTTGGTTGCGAAATTGTTGGAACTCAAGGGTGCAGAAGTGGTGGTGTGGGATATCAAAGCCCCTGAAGAGTGGAACGAGGATGATGGGAGTGAGGGAATTAAATGGTATAAAGTGGACGTGGGCAATGCCGAGGAAGTGGACAGCGCTTANCAAAAAAGTGCAGAAAGATGTACGTAGGGGTTGTTTCTTTTGTCACGCCATTTCAATCCAAAATCCCCTTTCATACCGTCCGAGACTTGAAGATGAAGCGAGTACTTCAATATTATTGATACTTGTGTACAAATACTGATGCCAATCAAACCACAGCTCGGGACACCCACAATCCTCATCAACAACGCCGGCATCGTAAACGGAAAACCCCTGCTCTCCCTCTCTGCCTCCCAAATCTCGCGCTGCTTTTCCATAAACACGCTGTCTCATTTCCACACCTGTCGCTCCTTTTTACCTGGCATGTTGGCTTCTCCATCTGGTGGTACAATCGTTACTGTATCCTCTGTATTGGGCCACTTAGGCGCTTCACACCTAACAGACTACACCGCCTCCAAAGCCGCCCTCCTCGCCTTCCACACCTCTTTGCGTGCAGAAATCTCCCAAATGGCTGCCAACAAACCCCAATACCCCGGTGCCGAAAACACAAAAATGATATTGGTAAAGCCTGGCCAGTTGAGCACTGCAATGTTTTCGACGCTCAAGTCTCCGTCTGATTTCTTTGGGCCGGTGGTGCAGGCCAAGGATTTGGCGAGGGAGATTGTGGATACGATTGAGCAGGGCAGAGATGGTGTTTTGTGTATGCCGGTGTATGCTTGGTTGGTTGAGTGGTTGGGTGTGTTGCCCGTGTCGTTGCAGAGGGCTGCTAGATGGATGAGTGGAGTTGATGGAGCGATGAAGACATTTGGTTCCAAGCAAGAATGACGGATGAGAAGACAATGATCCAAGTGGGCATGGCTCTGTTTTTCTAGAGCAATTGGCGTGTTCATAGCTGCATGTATGGCAGACTCTTTGAGAAGAGCAAACAACAACTCGCTTCGGTGCAACAAATACATCTCGTCGAAAGTGGTATCTCATGGTTGTCATTCTGAGAAGAATGGAACGTTCACTCAAGAACAGAGCTTAGAGTCCAGAGAGCGCCGAGAGCAAGCAGAGCTGCGCCGCCAACGGCTTGTTTACTCCAAGTAGAGGCTTGATCCAAGAGTTTTGCAGTCCCAAAAGCGTGTTCTTCGGCTTGAGAGGGTGAGACAGTTGCCTCAGCATAATCGACGTCTGCAGTGACGTTGTTCAGATCCTTCATCAAGTCCCTCGACTTCTCCATCAATGCCTTCAGCGCAAGAAGATCTGCCTTCCACTCCGCCAGAGATTCTTCTCCACTCTTTGCGTCGTCAACCTCAACGCCTTGTACATTGCCGAAGAAGTCGACGACTTTTCTGTTTCTTGCCTCATGTTCTCCGCCAGTGAAAAGATCGTAGCGGATGCCTGCATCAGAGTGTACTTTGACGGGATCGTATGAGTCGAAGAGTTGTCCCAGAGTGACATTGCTGCTTGTAGAACCAATCTGCTCTTCCAGGAATTCAAGGTTGTAGTAGGTCCAGCGGTCGATGACTGCAACACCGACATCTTGATCGGCGTGATGAGAGTATGAGGATTGGTGAAGAGCTGAAGAGCCGGTAGCGATGATGTTGGGCGTGTAGAACTGGCCGTACATGGTGTTTGCCTGGCAAGTGTCGATCATGAAGAGCAATTCGTTGTATCTNNGTAACTCATCCATCAGCACTGTGTTGGACGTGGTTGTGATGTGTTGTTCTCACCTCTTCTTCTCCCACATCTGCTCAAAGGCATCGGCCAAGTCATGCGAACTGATCTCCTCGGCATCCTGGAACTTCAGAAACTCGTTTCCTCCGTGTCCGGTCATGTAGATCAAGATGTTACTCCTGTCGTCCGTCATCAACCTCTTACTCCTCGGCCAACTCTCTGGCCATCTATCCGTCAGCAATCTGATGAAGTTCTCGACGGTGACCTCATAGCCTCTGTAGTCGACTTCGATACCACTGCCCATTGCATCGTAGAGATCCAAGTCGCGGGACTTGTCGTTGAAGACGGAGCCAGGGAATGAGTTGCGAGGATTGCATGCCATGTCGTCAGGAAGCATGAGAATGATTTGCGAGTCGGGAATGCCGAGACGCTTGACGGTGCGGTAGAGAGACAGGGTATTGGCGAGATGGCGGTAGTTGAACCAGAAGCGCGAGGTCGAGACGAGGACAGCCCAGTTGGATGTGTGGGTTGCTGCGCATGCACACATGCACAACGTGAGTAGCAGAGCGCATTGCATCACTGACTTCATCTTTGAGAGTTGGCGACGCAAAGGCGTCTGTAGTGTTGATAGGAGATGGATGTTGATGATGCAGCCCCTCGAATGTTGCTAAGGACTCGGTCGAAACATGTGCCGAGGCCCGCGATGCCAGGCGATGAAGCCCCGACCTTGACTCCACGACTCGCTCGTCATCTTCTACAACCTCTCCGTGTGCAACAGTCTATACTCGTGTGGCTGTAGAAATGCACGATGGCAATAAGAGACAAGATAGTATCCACTGAGAAGCGATGATTTGTCGACTCTCTGTGGACACGCCTTGTTTCCGAAAACAACTGTGTCTTTTCCAGTCTACATTCTGCTCTTAGCTATAGTCGGAGTAGTGGATGTTACACCCTTTAGCACACAGGGAGGTTGCAATTCTCAGGACATTGTCTTCTTATCCTTTCAATCTACCGAGCCAGCTCAAGCACCTTCATCAAATCAGGCAAGCAAGGATTCATAGTAAGCACGCTAGACGACCGGAAACAGCACAACAAAGAAATGACTGCAGACTTCCATCTCTTTTTCCTGAGCCTATAACCATTTTGTCCTCTATCTCGGTCACCAGAAAATTACTTGTTGTATATTGAAGACACACGTACAATGCTTCCAACACTGTTCCACCATTCCAAAAGCACAAAAGAAATAAAGTCACAAAAGAAAAAGAGAAGAAAAGCCAAGCTAAAGAAAGTGAAAGCCTTCAAACGTGTCTTGAGAATGCGAAGATACTCAAACCCGCTCCTAGCTCAAGAGCAAGAAACATCGGAAAATGGTAATGAGGAAAGAAGCACTTAAGTGGTGGCCCTCACTCACCGCGATGGAGACTTGCTTCGATCTATTTGACTCGCTCGCCATCTGGTCAGGTGATCCCATAGCGCCAGTCTGGTCAGTGAAGAGTTCACTCTTCCGATAGATCAAGAATGATTTGAATGCGGCTCCTTCTGGTGACAAGAGAGCTGCACAAGAACGAAATTTGCTAAGGAGGAGATGCTCCTTGAGGTTCTCGGCATAGACTTTCCAAAATCATACGGGGCAGTCCGATTTGATCTGACCGATGCCACTCCGATCGGCATCAGACATGGCAATACTGCCACTACCAGTAAATTCCGTACTCGGCACAAGGCCTACTACAAGAATCTGGCATCGCTTCGCGAGAAACGGCGTTATTGGTTGGTAATGACCGATATGCCACTCGAATCGGCATCGTGTATGATCATGTAGCAGGTCCCTGTCAGGAGTCCTCATGCACTTTACTCCATCTCATCATCGCTGTCGTTTAGAGTGACTTTGCGCTTGCCTTCAACTTTGCGCGTCTTCACCGCAGGCAATGGAGTAACAGAGCGAGAGCGACTCACAGACGGCTCAGCCATCTCATCATCGCTATCTGACAGTGTCGTACGACGCTTGCTATGCTTCTTGATAGGTGGCGCTGGAGTAACAGACCGAGAACGGCTCTCAGAAGGTTCAGCCATTTCATCATCGCTATCTGACAATATAGTGCGGCGTGTACGGCGTTTCTTGACAGGCGGTACTGGCGTTACAGAACGGCTGCGACTCGCTGATGCTTCAGCCATATCATGACTGTCTGCGGAAACTTCTTGTCTGCTTCGGACGGGCAGCTCGGTAACCTTTTCATCTGTGGCTTTGAAAGTGACGGCTCGCTTGCGCTTGACTCCACGGGATGAAGGCGCGACCTCTTCGGATTCAGGACTTGCCACGAACTCATCTTCGGAGTCCTCAGAAGAAGGGTTGTCAGAAGATTGGTCCTTGGGGTCAGATTCTGCATAAGCAACTTTGCCGCCCTGATGTCTACCTGAGCGACGCACTCCTTCATTCTGCTCGGCTGGCTTGCCCTCAGTTCGGCGTTGAGCTCTCTGATCACGAGCAGATTGCTGTTCTCTGCGCCGTCTCTCAGTAGGTGGTTCAGATATGCTGATCGCATTTTCACGTAGAAAGTACCAATCGTCTTCGGTAAACTTTTTCATCGGTTTGGTCACCTACACAATGTTAGTGTCCACTCAACATCCAATCTCCAATGCAACATGCACGACACCCTCGCCAGCGCACCAAGCAGTCCAAGCAACCAATAGGGAAACGTCACATACTTGCCACTGGCCCACCAGCATCTCTCTCAGCCCTCTCTTCCAAAGCCTGAGTTACAAAATCATGCGGCCTTGCTACTTTCACAACTTCCAAAAGAGTAACACGATCATCTCCGAACTTTTCTGCATGCTCTCTACCAGTCATCGAAGAGAACTCCTTCTCAGGACGGCCGGACAGGGTTGTAGGGAATCCGCTGGGATCTGACATCGTTGTGAAGCTGTGTTGGAGGGGTTCTTGATGGTGAGATTTTGGTTAGATGCGCTGAAGAAACGAGGAGGTGTAGATACAGCTGGTTTGGTTGGTAGTGTATACATCCTCGACATGGTATCTGTGTCTGAGTGCGGCTCAGGACAAAGACGATGCGAAGTCGACTTCGACGCATCCGGCCATTTTACCATCTGCCGTTGAGCCTGCATAATGATTCTTTGTCCCCAAGCTGGCGAAAGTCCAGACTCATGGGACTTCAAAGGAGAAGAGAATGAAACTTCGAGACGACAAATGGTATGCGAGCACGAATCATGGAGCAGGACGAAAAGTCAAGATATGGCCACTCCTCGAAACTCGAACTCATAGAGCCTTCGAAGGTCATTGCTATGTCTTGTCTCAGGGAAAATTGGCCTGAAGTCGAAATCTATGGCTCCTTCGTGGTCAGGTACTGAGATCCCCATCTGTGCTGGACATGTTTGGTGAACAGAATACGATCGTGAGTGGATTGTGGATCTCGTGAGCTACGAACGGGCAAGGTGCTTTCTCGCCGAATTTGGTGGGCCTCATCTCACTGATAGCGAGGGGTATTAAGATTGAGACGATAGCAAGTGGAATCGAAGAAGTTGTTGTTCTGATTGCAAGGGAGGTTAGGTAGGGAAGGAACGACCTACTCCCACGCACGGTTCCCAACATCTGTTCACCTTACCGAATCAGCTCAATGCGCTTTGAAAGAATCGTCATTCTCAAGATAAGACAAGGTAGCGATCAGTTGTCGCGAAATATCTTGTAAATCTTTCCAGAGCGTCTCATGGCTGCGACTTGCTCCTGCTCAACTTCGGTATAGTCATAGATGTTGGCAGCGGAGGTAGAATCAGCAATAAGAAGCACCAACCTCACCAATCCGGAGTCCTTAGGGTAGGGTTGTTCGCTGTTCCGGTGTGTCTTGTTTTCTATCGGTTTTCTCAAATGTAACAGCGAGGGGGAAGACCAACAGGCTACTCGATCCAGCAACCATAAATATAGATGAGGCCTCCGATCGAAGGGAACCCAGCATATGCAGCATTCTTACAACGAGCGGTCATTGGGATCAAGTAGAGTGGTTGATGAGGCAAGCCATGCGTCCATCCGCCGCCTTGATGAATCCATCTATGTTGGCTGCATATGAGGTTCGCAGAGCTGACTTCTCACAAAAGGCAGATTTTAGCCAACAGCTTAATTTCTTCAAACGGTATCCGCTGCCTCACAGAGACCTCCTGCCGAAGCACATCGTCTACAACGACTATCAATGGTGGAATCCAGATCGGAAGTTCCAGATCTGTGTATGCAGTTGTGCGTGCGGTCGGCATTCGAGGAACATTTAGCTAGACAAGAAACCTTCATTGGAAAGCAATGTGGACTGGTATAACGGTAGAACAATGAGAACTGTAGCGAGGTGATCATAAAGGACGGGAGACTGTGGAAAGCTCAGCGCAAAGGATCTGGCCGAGAATTTCTGGCAAGCGTGATCGCGGGAGCTCTTTCGGCATACTCGAGTATGTCTGTCAGACGTATGTAGCATTGCCGACACGACAGAGCAGAGCGGGGTAGAGAAGCGGGTCAATGGAGCCAAGTTCGACAGCTGAACAAACCACCAGGTAATACGATGCATGTTGCACCATCCATCTTCTTGATTTGAGATAATCTCTGATCTGTAACTCGGAGTGTCGTCCATCAGTCTGATCTTCCTCGCACTCGGTACGAGCGGCAAAATCAAGAGTGTCAGATCTGACCATGTGTGAGAAACAAGGTTGTGGGGAAACTGGGAAGGCCATTGACTGAACAAGCTTGTGTGCCACCAACTCAGCATGCTATGGGATGCCAAGGTAACTTTAACGCTTTGTGTATGGCATGAGAATCATCTAGATATATGGCGTAACTTCGTCGTGCTCCCTCGCATACAGAGCGAGGCACACCGGTTGATCGCTACGACTAATCATCCTGTAGGATCAGATTGTAAGCGCTGGATGTTGATCCTTCGAGAGCATAAAGTCTCGTCTTATTCCTAAGTTCAGGATTTCTCATCTCATCGCAGACCACGTATGATCGTCTGCCTCGAAAATGTTCAGACTTCTATCAAGCAACGAACAATCTAATACTCTGAACTTGCTTCTTGTTCTTCTTGGAGCCACTGGAGCGTGTCTGTTCATTTCTTCAGTACTACAATATTGGCGTCTCCGACATATACCTGGGCCACCCCTTGCAGCATGGACAAATCTCTGGCTTATGCAGCGTATGAACGGCAAGGAGAAGTTTTACAACATCAGNAAAAGACTACATCAGAAGTACGGACCTGTTCAACGTTATGGTCCGAATAGAGTCATGTTCAGTGACGTTTCCGCTGTGCATTCTATTCATCCGACATCGAATATCCTTCCCAAGGTCTGTACACAGATGAAATAGTTATGATCTGCTCATTATATACGCAAAGCCCAAGAAGTCTAACATAAATCCACANNGGCTGATAATTATGACCCTCTCAAAGTGTTTGTCAATGGTTCCGAAGTTGCGTCCTTCATCGCCATCACCGATGATGACAAGGCTGCAAGGCTCAAGCGCTTCTTGCATCCAACTTTTAGTCCCAATGGTGTCTTGCGATACGAATCACATGTCGATCATACAGTGTCTGAATTGATCAGTCATCTTCGCGGTACCGGACCCACCACTGACCTCGCTCATTGGTTGGCCTGGTTCGCATTCGACACAATCACTCGCATCGGCTTCAGCGAGGATCAAGGATTTATGAGAGAACAGACAGATATAGGTGGGGCTGGTAAGGCAGCTCAAAGAAGGTTCGCCCATTGGAACTTCTACTGGACTATTCCATGGCTCGACGCACTCTTGTACAAGAACTGGTATGTTAGAAATCGCGTAGCAACACCATCAGGTCTCGTTAAGTTAGCGTCACGAGTTGTTCAGGCTCGTAAGGCCAAAGGAGGATTGGGAATTCACCACGATTTGCTCGATCTGTACATGGAGTCTGGTAAACAGGATCCACAACTCTACACTCCGTCTACTATAATTGGCCTGACCATGACGACTATACATGCGGGAGCAGAGACTACTGCATATACTTCTGCTATATGCATGTATCTCATCCTCAGCAACAAACGTGTTCACGACAAACTGAGACAAGAATTACAATCTATCATGCCAGCGACCAGCTCCGACTGGGAACTCCCTGAATTGTCTGTGCTACAAAAGCTGCCTTACCTGGAAGCTTGCATCAAAGAATCAGCACGCGTCAAGCCATCGGCCAACATCATGGGCGAACGTGTGGTGAACAGCGACGACGCCATCATTGCCGGAGTGCCAGTCCCAAGAGGCACGATTGTTGCCGTGAACACGGCTGGCCTCAACACAGATCCTAGTATCTGGGGTTCAGATGTCGAAGTGTTTAGGCCAGAACGCTGGCTCGAGGCCTCCGAAGAACAACGAGTGTTGATGCATCGTGCTAACCTCACCTTCTCCGCGGGTAAGCGCATATGCCTTGGAATGCATATTGCTTGGATGGAGATGAAGAAAGTCATCTCGGCTTTGGTCATGAATTCTGATGTAAGTCACGCCTGAATTGACTTTGCTCTATAAGTCATAGGAGGATGCAAGACTGACGAGAAACAGATTGAGTTGGTTCATCCCGAAGAAGATCTAAAGCAGACATCTGGTGTCTTTGGCGTTCCGGAAGAGATCAAGGTATACATTCGTTCACGCACGAAGGCTTGGATAGCGGCCTTGGTTATTGATGACAATTTCCATGGGGACTTCAAAACAGGTCTTTGAGTGGTTTTGATTTTCATTTATGCATAATGACTCCTTGAATTATCTCTGGTTGGAGTATACCAGCTGACGCCTGTTCCTGTGCTCCGCGCTCTCAATAAAATGCTTTTCCTCCATGCTTTTGATAACCATGCTTTTGATAACCATGCTTTTGATAACCATGCTTTCGATAATACATGCTGCTCATAGTTCATGCTTTCGATAACCCCTGCTCTCATTACACATATCTAGCTTCTTGTCTTCATGCTTCAATAATTCATGCTCCCATGCGTTTCCGTCATCTCATCATAAAAGAAATCCAAATAAACAAAGGAAAAGAGAAAAGTGAAAGCGGCTCAATGCGCTCTTCAGCCAGCCCACGAAAGTTCTTTGTGCCACAAGAGGGTTGAAGTTGATCAATGGTTCTTACGGCCATCGTGGATGTAACCGTGTTCAGTAAGACGGCGACGGATGCGCTGCTGACGGAAGCGATTTGCATCCTTACGCTGCTGCTCGTCTGCCCAGTTGAAGTTTGCATTAGCTACCTTGCGGCTGTTGTATTGGACCCACTCCCATCTGGTGCGGGCTCTGTCGACCGGGAGCTGAACACCAAGGGGGCGAGGTTCATCCTTCTTGAAATGCTCGTTGAGAGCGAGAGCGCCGTTGGGGATGTCAGGGGTGTTGTCGGGGGCTTTGAGGGGGAGGTTTGTGGGAGGGTGAACGAGGGCCAAGCTCGATCTCTTGGTGGCCTGGGTGGGTTTCTTCACAATTGTGACCTCGTCCTCTTCGTCATCCTCATCCCCTTCGGTGGAGGTCTTGACTGACTTGCTGACGAGTTTCTTGGAGTTTCTCAAGGTACGACGATCATTGTCGGGATAGGCGGCACCGGCGTCGTTATCGACTGGAGTTGTCTTGACCTTCTTCACAACCCTCTTCGATCTGTTGGGAGTAGGCAGATCCTCATCTGGGAGCGAGAAGTCGGCTTCCTCATCTTCATCGATGCGAGTCAACTTGCGCTTGGTACGACGCAGCATAGGGGACTTCTTCATGGTGTCGTCATTCTTAGCCTTCTTGGAACCAGTCAGGCTACTGATCTTGGTCGACAGCGCCTCATATTCTTCTTCTGAGTTGTTGCTCTCGTCGTCCCCGATGCGAATAACTTTGCGGTTGGAGCGAAGCAGCATAGGTGACTGCTCACCCGACTTTTCCTCGCGGCTGGTCCTCGGCTTCTTGATGGAGGTGGAACAGTCATAGTCGCTGGGGTTATTGTCGCTCTCTGAAGTGTCAGTGCTCTTACGTTTGCTGCGACGCACAGTTGCGGACTGTTCGAGAGTCTTGCTCAACTTGCTCTTGACAAGCGAGGGTTGAGTAAAGCGCAAGCCCTTAGTAGCAGGACCGACACTGCTGGTAGGCTTGATAGAGCCAGCAGGCTGAACTCCGCTTGAGTGGCCAAGGGTCGACAAGAGGTGGTTGACAGGCTGCTTGCCCTGACGTCTTGTGGAGCGGCCAGCAACTTCTGAATATTCGTGGCTCCGGATAGGGGCCAGTGATGCTGAGAGGGGCAGAGCTTCAAAGATGCCATCAAAGGGCAAGACCCTCTGCGAAGTAGCAGTGGTTGCATCAATCTGCACGACGGCAGAGTTGAAGGGGCGCAGTCCCATTGAAGTGTCAGTGGCTCCGTAGCCGATGTACTGCTGAGCATTGCCACCGTATCTCAGACTCATCAACGCGGATGCAGCTTCAAGTTCGGCAGGGCCGTATCTCAAACTCATGAGAGCTGAGGCAGCTTCCATGTCGGATGGGGCGATGTTGTTGTCTTCAGATGCGGCTTGGACCTCAGGGTCTGGAATAGTGCTGTCTGATTGTGATGCTTCGTCTTCAGGAGAAGCCATGTCGTTGTTTTGTGCGGCTGCTCCTGCCTCAAGAAGAGCAACAGCATTTGCTTGGGCGACACTAGCCCTCTCATCATAGCATTCCAGGGCGTCGTCGTAGAGGGAAGCATCCTCAGGGTTTTCCTTGTACATGTCATCCAATCCAGTGTCTCTCAGACGCTCGACAGCTTCCGGGCCAGACACCGACAAGAAAGTAGCTATAGACTCGATGCGCCAGGTCTCCCACTTCCAGCGCCATGNCTAATCGATGTTAGCATCTGCTTGTGATTTGATTCAAGAGAGTAGGAACTAGGTGCAGAGGGTTTGAAGCATGATAAAGGAGTTGATGGAGTACTGACCTCTCTTCCGGCGTGCGGCGCGGGCAAGGGGACGTGAAGTCACTGAGGTGCGTGGCTGACGTGTTGTAGCGCGAAGTGGACCTTGGGTAGAAGGCTGACCTCTCTGGCTGTCAAGAAGGCGTTGCGAACGACGAGTGGTCGTGGTGGTGGAAGTTGTAGTGGTAGTGCCGACAGCTTCATTGCGCTGATCAACTCCGGCTGGAGTGACGGCTGCGTCGTCCATGGTGAAAGTGAAGTGCAGACTTGCAAGCGACAACAAGGATTCTGAGAGTTAAGGAAGAGTCGTGGATGCACGCTGAAAGGTGTGTGAGTGACTGCGTCAGAAAGTAATGGTCGAGGAGAGAGTAGATGAGGACGCGTCAGGGGTAAAGTGTGCGCAAACATAGAATCACGTACCTAAAGCGTGTCTCTGATGATTTCAAGGCTCTTCTGAGCTGTAGAGAGAATGTTGAAGATGATTTGATGCGAGACGTGATGGGTTGTGGTTGATGTTGTGGTGAGGGTGGTATGGAGAGTGAAGCGAAGACGCGAAGAGCCATATACAAGTGAATGCGCGGCAACGACATCACCACCGTAGTGCCAAGACTGCATGGGCTAGTCTTGAGAGACCACACAAGGGACCGTCACGAACACAAGACCATTCAGGAGAAAACGATCTTGAATTCGTAATAGACAAATCGGTCCCCTTTCTCGTCCTCTCGCCAGACTCCAGTGACCTACCTCGAGCTGACCACCCTATCTCTCCATTCGTTACTTTGAACACATATCTCGTCATGTAGTCTCGATCCATGAACCATCGGAACTAAGCTTGATGCTGGTCAGAGGTGCATTGATCCGCCCCTGCACTTTTGGTTCTTGGGGGCAGATGACAGAGCCAATAGTATAGCCATCGACGAAAGTCTGCGCCAAAGCGTGCTGCACAACCGTGGCACCACTTTTTTTTAAATGATGAGTGATCTTGCGAAAGTAGGCACTTACTCTGTTCGTCCCACCTACGCAGTCCAATCCTGAGCGCCGGATAGCTCAGGCTTGACCGCAAGTCCTATGGCTGCTACGAAAGACCACTGTCTCTGACTCGAAACAACTTGATTGCTCGATACACATCTTCAATTGCTTGTACCTGATCGCTTGCCTCGAGGGCCGAGGTTTGAGAAACGCAAACTCTCAGAGCGGATCGCTGTGACAGGTCATGATAGATTCTGATGTTGAGGCGCTTCTAGTTGTCGAGAAATCCAGCACCAAAATGGAAGGATCGGCTCACCGCTGACATGGGTTGGAAGCTTTGCAAGACATGTCGTTGCTCGAGGGAGAATCTCGGACAAAGTTGTGGAGAAAGCCAGACTGCAGGGAGATTTGTTCATGCACATTCCTCGCTTCCTCTTGCAAATGCCTCCTCATCAGATTCCTTGATACTTTTTTTCTTGTCCACCTTCTTTGCTAGTCCACCCTTACCAGATTCGTCTTCACTTGCCGCTTTGTATTAGGTCGATCGAGTCAGTTGCGCTGTGCACATATTCTGCTCTCCACGACACGCACTCCTGTTCAATACGAGCTCAACCTTGCGAATGCAATTTTTGTGATTTCGAAGTACACATTGAACCTCAAAGTACAAAAACGATCGAAACTTCAACTAATGCAACATCGGCCAAGGTTGTTGCGCTGCACTACGTAGAATGCGCCTGTAAGAACAAAAGCTGCGGCTGTGACTCTTGTACAAACTCCTGTGAGTACTTTCCTGAAGGCGCTCCGTTGGCTGTAAGGAGCTGGTAAGAGATGTGCGTTGAACCCTTTTCACCATCCGTGTTCCTCCTCCATGTCGTATGCCTTCTTTATCGTCATCCTATCACTCTCCAGTGTCCATCTTCTCGTCATCCTGTCCCTCCTCATCATTTCCGTTCTCTCCATCTTCTTCACCTTCATCATCGTGAGCCGCAGTGTTGGCAATGCCGGTGTTTTTCTTGCGGCGATCAATTTTGACACCCAAGCGTTTGAAAATGCCTTGGGTAGTGCGCGAGCGCCAGTGATTAGCGAGCCTGACGCTCTTTTCAGAAGTCCAGTCAAAGGGGTTCTCACNTCTGCGCTTGTAGACCTCCCATCTGAAGGTGGTCAGGGAAGCGTCGGTGGGAACCTTGACGCCGAGGGGCACCAGCTGACCAAGCTTGAAGGGCTGGTCCATCTCTAGGGCACCAGGAGGGAAAGCAGCAGCAGAAATTGTAGCGGCAGGCTGAGTCGGGACAGCGACGTGGGGACCATGGTGGATTGTCGAGGGGCCGGCAGTCGGACGGTTGTTCACTGCGAAGACACTCATCATGCTTGCTTGGGGCCTTGCTTGAGAGGTAGGGCGACGAGTAGCGGGGATGCGAGACGCCATAGGAGGGCCGTGATCAGGTGAAAGGTGAGTGTCTGAAGTGGACACAGAAGATTCGCCGACCGGACCCTCGTGCTGGGTCAAAGCGCTGATGAGGTGTTGCATAGCAGCCTCCTGCTCACGGTGGATGGGTCCTGGGAGCCAATCCAAGTTGTCTTGTCTCATGTGGGCACCCCAGACGTGGGCGACGAGCTGGTACTGATACATGAATGTTGCCGGGCATTGGCGGCATTGGTGGCTCATTGAGTCAAGGCCTGAGAGTAGTTAGTGTCTGAGAACTCCTTCACGTACAANGATGACCTGGCACGTTGACTTACTCTGGTTCTGCTCGATATCAAAAGGAGCAGTCTCGAAGTTGAAGATCAGAGCGTCGTCTTCCGGGACGCGGTCATCGACTGGTGCTTCTTCTTCTTGCTCCTGAGGGAGCACGTCAGGGGCAGCAGTGGCCTGAGCAGTCGCAGAGATGTCCTCATGTCCGGCAATAGACTGAGTGCGGTTGATGCTGGCGGCGGCGCCTACACGTCTTGCGTCNNAGTAGATGTCGCCTAGACAAAAGGCATTCAGGTTCACAAAGAACGACTTACTGTGCTCGAGCGGGACTCTCAATCTGTCCATACCAGTATCGGCCAAATAAGAGATGTGATTGATATCGCCTAGGGTTAGACCTTCAGACCATAGTGGTCTTAGGGGTGGGGGAGTTTCGAGCTGCATGGGCTTACTCTTAGTACGTGCCATGTTGTGAGACTGTTCCTCGCGTATTAGTATGAAAGAGGGCAGGAAGATCGAAGGAAGTACATACGAGGGTGTGAGATGCGAGGAAGTTGTATTAGTGGCTACGTCAAACAGGAGAAGACGAGTTTGGGAGTGATCGGGTCGTTAACAAGAAACAAGCCGAGTCTTGATGCAGTTCTAGTAGAAACGAGTTGATGTCGCGGAAGATAGTCAAGAAGTGAATGTCGAACTAAGTCGACGTCGACGACACTAGTAAGATATCCCGGCTGGTTTCTGTAGCTACCTCGGGTCGACGACGACAACAACAACCTCGTCTTACTTCTTGCTAGACAGTCTTTATGGATCATGACCTACCTTATAGCGATATGTTATTGCTTGGGATACTATGCAAACCTAGCTTCCTACTTTTATAATATTGACCTTAGCAACAAGATGCCTTTCATGTTGTCGATATCCTGGAATAATTGAGTATGCATGCAAAGATGCGTAGGATGACCTGATTCGTTGTACTAGAGATGATATACAACTACAGAAGAAGGCCATGGACCAGGGGTGTCCTGAGTTTATATAGGTAGTATAGCCAGGACTCCCTTGCTTACAAAGGCTAGAAGCACATCCCTTGCTTGGGATTTCCTATTATCTTACATTCACCACATCCGTGAAATGTGCACAGAAAACCGTGAAGATGCACCATGCCCAGAGAAGTCTTTGTACAGCGTCCGCAACTTTGACTAAGAATTTTTTAAAGGCAAATGACTGCTGCGTTTTTACAGCAAAAGTTCGTCGAGCCAGCTAAGCATCTTACATCGTATCCCATCACCATGAGTCTAGAGAAACCAGGTGGTGTCTAATTTTCTTCTTTTGTGGTACGCCATATCACCGTCCCTGGTTTCGAAGATTCATTAGTATATTCCGACAGATCTGGCAAAATCAGGAGGGCAAAGACGACTTTTGCGGGTCCACGACTTGGGGATCGTAGTCCGGCAGATTGTTCCGGAGGTCGGTGTGCATGTATGGTGGAGTGGTTGCAATGATTGCGCATGATCTGGAGCCATGCAACCAGGCGAAGCCGGCATGAGAGATCAGCCAGATGTTTTGGCGCTTGGAAATGCCTGCTCAGATAGAAGTCGCAAGAGAAAAGCGGCTCCAACGAGATGTGGTTTCCAGAGAATGCTGAGCTGAGGCCGAGTGCAAAGTTGACGTGGGAGCCTTTCAAGCAGTCTTCTCTTCCTCATCATCTCCTTCCGGTCTCTCTCTGGCTTGGATGACAATCCCAAACTTCTTCTTCAACTCCTCGACTTCCAGAGACCATTTCTCAATCAGAGGATGCGCATCGGCCACATCCCGGAAAGTAACATCCTCTTCATCNNCCTTGCCATGAACCTCGAACTTCCAAATCCCATCTTCGCCAAACCACTCTCTGCCAAACAGACTCTGCAATCCCAGCTCCTCCCGCGCCGCCACAAACTTCGTAATCACGTCTTCTTTGACTTCCGTGGTGATGGAAGCAGAAGGTTGGATAGCGCGAACAACACCTTCAAGGACTCCAAGCAAAAATCCAGCTTTGATTCCAATAACAGCACCGAGAGAGAATCCCTCGTCGAAACCGTGTTGGACGTGCTCAGCTTTGGATACAGAGATACCATCTCGGTAACCAGAAGTCACGTGCACGCTGCGCAGGCGTGGGATATCCGAGCGTTCCGAATTCGCGGTGTTGAGAAGTTGTGCAGGGATTTGGATGTCATTGGTGTCATGTTCCTGTGATGGCGATAATGCAGGCGAAGTTGGTGCTGAGCCGAAGATATCGTCGTGAAGTTCTGAAGTGGTGATAGGTTCGGGAGATGGAGACATGTCTGGTGTAGAAAGTGCGCCTGGCACTTCGCGGACCATTTCTTGTTTCTACAGTCTGGAGTTGATGCGATTGTTGTGTGAACTGTTTGAATGCAGTCACTGGCGTTGATGAAACATCAAGGTGAAGTTGCGCGAAGCCGAGGAAATTTTGCTTAGTCAGCGCTTCCATTCCCTGGAAAGGGCCTCTTTCTCAACCTCTTTCCCTCGTCAATGATATTTATATGGACTTTTCTATGGGTAAGGCAAGGAACCGACATCGCTTGAGTTGTTTTCGCATTCTCATCTGAATGTCGTGATCACACGAGTGTCTTGCATCGACAGTCAAGGGCCAAGAGATCGAGTCCGGGTAAGGCGAAAATCGAAACCGGTTGGGTAGGGCATTATACAATGCATGAGCAGCTCAGGCTATCTCTATGTTTTATGTATGTCATCTATGGGCTGTACTCCGAAGGGTCGAGAGTGTCCTCTACAGACAGCACGTTTAAAGCGTACTTGTGGGGCTCAGTCCTCCAGCAGCTCTGAAGTTGCAGACCTGCGTCTTCCCACATTTTCTCTTGCTCCTCCTCATCGAACTTGTGGCTGCTGACAACATGCAGACCGTGGGCTTCCTTCAAGTTCGCGCCTCTGACATTTAAATCTCTTTGAGGAACAAGGTATTGCTCATGTCTTCCCTGCTCGGCATTCCACACTCCTCTGACAGTCCACTCCTTTGGGTCAAAGGTTTCGTGATTCAGTACCTTATTAGCGTGGTGCAAGATGTTGGAGATGAAGCGATGATTGCAACCCTCTGCGTCATTGTAGGCATGCCATACTTTATCACCATCCTTGCATCCGTCGACACCTACAACAAATAAGGTCTTCTGTTTTGAGCTCTTCACGGCTTGAACAAAGCCACCGAGGAACTCGGCCGCCTCAGAGCCTGATGAGCTACCGATGGTGGATCCAAGGGATAGGATGCACTTCGGACGCATCGCGAGTGATTCGGTTTGTAGCCAGCGCAGGCCTTCGTCGTAGGTACCTAGAAGACCATGGCATTTCACATATTGAAATGACGAAGGCGAGATGTCCATGAGAGTTCTTTCGAGTTCAGAACGACTCAAGTCGAGGGCATAGTAGTCCACGGGCTTATGTTGGGCTTCTAGCGCATCGAGCAGAATCTTGATTTTTCTGAGGCATCCGCTTCCGAGTTCCAAAACAATAGAGCCGGGTGCGATTTGTCGAGCGATCTCGTTGCTGTGTTGTTTCAACAGCTCGATTTCGCAGTTGGTGAGGTAGTACTCGGGAGAGTAGGTGATAGCTTCGAAGTTCTGCAAGCCCTTCTCGTCCCAGAGAAGTAATGATGGGAACTTTGGTGGAGTTGCGGATAGGCTAGCTTCGAGCTCTTTCACCAGCGAGATGTCGTGAGTCGAGGAACGAATGTCGATAATGTCGACTTCTGTCTTGTTGCCAGGCGAGTGTGGAGGAGTTTCCATCGTTGATGAATGTCTCGAATTACGTTGAAGTCAAGCGGGATATGAATAACGATATGTCCTTCGGCGTTGAAGCGAAGATTAGAGGCACGATCAATGCTCGCGAGAATGAGGAGAGAATGTTTGAGAGGAGAAGAGACAGAAGCCAGGTAAAAACAGAGCACATAAAAACATTATGACATGGGAAACTGCACCTTCCCCGTTCTCGGTATTATCGAGGTTGGGAGGGGTAAACAAAGGACTGTCATCTTGACGTGACCTGTTGCTGATTGAGGCCTGAATCGTTATCCGCCCGGTCGGGATACCGAGTGCGAAACATGCAAGGTACTCAGACACTTGCTTATCCGAGTTTTGTATCCCTGTTGATATGCAATATGTTTACTAGGGATGGACAATGCAGCATGCAGTCATGGTGATGCATTTGTTGTTTCTAGCCATAAATCTTGGCCGCTTGAACTTCTGTCCTTTGGGCTGTGGCCATTGCACTTCGTGACCACGAACGTGGCTACGAGCCCCGAGTCTCAATTCACACTCTTGAAGATTCACAGTGAGATATCATCTCGAGTCTCGAGAGTAGATACTTGTCGAAAATGTGCCGTAACTATGTCGCGCTGCCTCAGTGCCTTCCGAAAGCGTCCTGGATCGTGACGAAACCAAGCATCACATGCCAGATTAAACATGAGATCATCCTCGACCCAATTGTGATCTTTTTCAGATCTGGTTTTGCTATGTTTGGTAATGATTACTCCCTGTCAAAATCGAACAAGTACTTGGTAAGGGTCACTTGTACTCACGCGACCTTTGATTCGTCCTTTTGAATTCATCTCCCTGCTTGTCTACAGACTACATTTCTGCACAACTACTCTCTTCAGGTGCTCTATCATGTCTCCAAAGATATCAGAGGTAGACCTCCTTATAACCGGTGCCGGTCCTGCTGGATTGATGGCTGCAGCTTGGGCAAGCCGCTGCAGCCTCAAGACCAGAATCATCGACGAAAAAGACACCAGAGTCAGAACCGGCCAAGCAGATGGTCTACACTGCAGAACACTCGAGATCATGGATAGCTTCGGCAGTCCCAGCATTGCCCACGAGATCCTCGGACAGGCTTGTGTAATCAAGGAGATCAGTTCATGGGCATGTACACATTCCCCAAAAAAAACATTATCGAGAAGAAAGNNAAACAATGCTAACAGTGCAATTCAGAATCCCAAAGAAGGCCATGAGCAGCATATCGAAAGATCAGAATCAGTGAGGTCTGGCGAGGAAGATTTGCCTGGTAGTCGGTATCCTCAAGTGAGTCTTAGTCAAGGCAGTGTCGAACAAGCCTTTCTAAATTTTCTGGAACGAGATGGCGACAAAGTGCGGGTTGAACGCAACTTGACTNNCCCCCTGAAGCTTCATGTTGAAGAAGCATCGGTGGATGATCATGATGCATATCCTGTCGAAATCCACCTGCGAGGATTGGGCAAGAATGAGCGGGCTGGTTCTCCTGATTCTGAAGGTATGTGCTTTGCCTGGAGGTTTTGTGTTCCTTCTGACCGAGTCTTAGCAGCCCAAAAGCCTGCTACAGAGATTGTTCGAGCAAAGTACGTCCTAGGAACCGATGGAGCACACAGCTGGACACGAAAAGCACTAGGTCTCCAAATGGAAGGCGACACAACCAACAAACACTTTGGCGTCATGGACTTTATCCCCCTCTCCAACTTCCCAGACATCAGGATCTCCTGCGCAATCCACTCTTCCTCAGGCAGTATCATGACTTTACCACGAGAAAACGGATTGGTCAGATTCTACGTCCAATTGGGAGAGTCCTCAGTCCAAGGAAGCAATTTCGATCGCAGCAAAGTGACTCCTGACGATATCATCGAGACGTCTCGGAAGATTCTCCAGCCTTATACTTTGGATTATGGCCACTGTGATTGGTTCTCTGTCTACACAGTCGGGCAGCGTCTAGCTCAGTCTTTCAGCCACCTTGACCGCGTCTTCCTCGCAGGAGATGCCGTACACACTCACTCTCCAACCATGGGAGCAGGCATGAACGTCTCCATGCAAGACAGCTACAACCTAATCTGGAAAATCGCCACCGCGATCCGCACACGCAACACCTCAATCCTCGCAACCTACAATACTGAACGCATGGTCACAGCAAAAGAACTCATCGACAAAGACCGCGCAATGTCAAACTTCTACTGCGACGGCCCTTCTGCAAACTCAAAACGATATCAAGAGTTCCGCGAAGCCTTTCGGGATTTTGTTAGTGGTGTTGCTGTGGAGTATGGTCCCAGTGTCTTGACGTCCTCAGCAGAACCCTCGAATGGAGGCGAGCACAATCGCAAAGACTCACGACAAACCCTCCANAAAATCTCCTCCAAGCCTTGGCTCGCAAAGAACCTGATCCTAGGCCAACGAATCCCATCTTATCGCGTTACAAACCACTTCACAGCAGAATTGGCACATATCCACTCCGCTCTAAAAAGCAGCGGTCAATGGCGAATACTCCTCTTTCCCGGAGACCTAAGCACCTCCCGGTTTTCCGTTCTTCAAAACCTCGGCCACAAACTTTCTGCNCCCTCATCCTTCATTCGTTCTTGTACACCCCCTTCTTTACCCATCGACTCCGTAATCGAAGTTTTGACTATACACACAAGTAACAGAACCTCCTTCCCAGCTCTGGAACTCCCGGATGTTTTCCATCCATGGAATGCTAGCAAAGGCCACGATTACCATAAAATCTTTACAAGGGACAACGAAAGTGGAGATGACATCTACAAAGCCTTTGGTATCGATGAGGANAAAGGATGTTTGGTGGTCGTAAGACCTGATCAGCATGTAAGCTACATTGGAGAACTAGAGGACCTGGAGAGTGTTGGAACATATTTTGAACGGATTCTGAAGGTGGTGGATGGGAAACAGATCACCTAAACACCAAAAACACGTTGGGGTGATAATCATGCAATATGCATTTTGAATTGTGTAGCTTTAATTTGGGTCATGCAGTTTACCCATGATACTCGGGACTCTTCTAGATCTTGTAGAAGCAGAAAGCGTGGTAGAAACCAGCTGCCTCCATCTCTTCTTTCGTGCCCAAGAATCTGCCCTCCCTGTCCTTGACTCGCATGCGCTCACTCAGTGGTCCAAGCTCGTAGTCATCCTTTTCATCCTCCCAAACTTCTGGGAAGGGCTTGCGGTACATCAATTCCAAGCCATACTCTTCTGCAAGAGCACGGAATCCTTCCCATGGTACCACAAACTCGGGCACATCGACAGCTTCTTCGAGGTAGTAGTAGTACTTCCAGCCAAAAGGCGGTCTGAAGACACCATCGAAAGGCAGAGGCTGCGACTCCGGGAATTTGACCTTGTAGATTGAGTTGCCCCATTCAAGAGGTTCTTTCGGTAGTGCTGGCGCTTTTATGACGGGTTTCGGTTTCTCCTCGCCAGCGATGGCATTATCGATCGGTGCTTGAGGGTTCCAGTCATCATTGTCGGCAGTGCCGTTCGCTGTAGGTTGCAGACTCTTTTCTGGATCCCAGTCATCGTCATCGTTGGCCCCATTGGCAACTTGCGGTGGGTCGAGAGGCTTTTCCGGATCCCAGTCGTCTTCATCATTTTCAACATGCGGATCGAGACTTTGCTCAGGGTTCCAATCATCGTCTCCAGCAGTAGTGGCTCCAGATGGTTTCTCAGGATCCCAAGCATCATCGTCATCGTAGTTCAGACCAGCTGGTGGTGAGTCCTCCTTTGTTGGTTCTGAGGGTTTCACTCCGCCTTTCATGTGTTGCTCGATCTTTCTGCGGATGATATCCGAGTTGGGCATGACACCAAGGAAGCGACCACCTTTCTTCAGAGCACCAGCAACATTTTTGAGCATACCTCTGGCAGCCTCCTCACTCTCATAAGAATAGTGCAGACAAAACATCATCGAGACGACATCAAAGCCTCCTTGTGAGAAGCGTGCAGTGATAGCACCAGTTGTGTCAGGACCAGCGTGAGGGTCGAAGCCAACCTCCCGTACTATGGGAATGTTTGCCAGACTTACACCGAAAGCGTCTTGGGCAAAGAAGTGAGCTTCGAGGTGTTTGGCGTTTCTGGGGCCCCTCCTTCGTCGCTGCATCTCAATGTATCTGCCTCTTGCTTGGTCGATGGAGACGTCGGCGGGGTCTACACCAACATATAGACGTGGTGTTTGAGGAGCGGATTGCCATTNTTGCAGATCACCACCTTTACCACAGCCCATGTCGAGAACAATAGGACGATAGTCCCTGTCTTCTGATGGGGAGAACTTTTGGATCATGCATGACTTGATCCAGTTGTTCAGGGATCGCAGACCTTGGATCTTAGACTCTGTTTTTCTCCAGTCTCTGCCTCTCTCTGGGACGGCATTGTAATGTGCGCTGACGACGTCTGTAGCAGCAATTGCACGATTCTGTTGTACCTGCTTGCGCTCCTCCTCCTCGCGTTGCAATCTCTTCTGCTCGGCGGCTTGTCTAGCAGCGACACTGATTCTTGAAGAGGCACCAGGACGCTTTCGTGGAGGAGAACGAGGCGGGGATGGCGGATCGGGATCGTCGCGACGGGTAGAGCTTGTGAGAGGACTGCGTTGACGTTTAGGCGCTCTGTTTGAGGGAAGGTCGGCCTCTCTTATGCGCTTGCGCGATGGCTTCTGGTATGAGTCTGACTCGGGGAGGGGTGAATCGGTAGGCGGACTGCGGCGTCCTCTACTCGAGTCCTGGGTCTGACGAGGCATTGTGTCGTGTGCTTAAGACGATGCGTCGAGGATGCGGTGAAGCAGAATATGCGAAATTCGAGCGACTATACGGAGGATGGGCGTATGCAAGTAGGTTGGCTATGAGGAACAAGAAGAACAAGTCAAAGAGTGAGATCGGACGTAAATCCGTTGTGGTGCTCGAGAATAGCTAGCAATAGGCGCCGTGCCAAGAGCTGCATCAGAGCAATGTCGCTTCTGGGAAGGAGCAACCAAAAGATGCTTTCGATTCTGCTGATGGAGGAGTAGCCCGATAGCAGTGAATGCGTCCCTCAGAATCTATCAGACACTAAACAATTCAAGTGGAAGGAGCAAGTAATGCCATGTCAAGACTGAGTGAAATCATCGGGGCTCGGTGAAGCTGGCCGACGCGCACGGACACGGCGAGTCTGATTGGGAAGCTCCAGCATCATCATCATCGCCCTCGCCATCAAACACACACTGTGAACACGACAATCACACGCGACTTACTCTCCATCCACTCCTTCCGCCCTCCTTCTACCCATACAAAACCGCCAACATGGGTGACCCGCAGTACATGAAGTTCCCCGACCTCAGGCTGGCCCAGTCTGTCTTCACCCTCGCCTCGCCCTCCGCCTCGTCGTCAGCGAAACAAACATCCCTCACAGCTCTCCAAGATGCCATCCGAGAGTACAAGATGGCTCCCTTGTACCACTACCTCGCACATCCTCAGACTGGCAAGTTGAATGGCTCCGGAGAGTCTGGTTCGAGCCAGAAGACCTCATCATCCTCACCCATGCCATCGCTACGAAGAACATCCAGCATCAACACAACAAGCATCATCGGCGTTCTTGGAGGTGTCAAGCAGACCGGCGGAGCTGATCTACCATGGGATGAGAAGTTGTACGAGTCGATGAAGCGCGAGAACGAGGAAGAGCTGGCCGCTATCCAGAAGGAGGAGGACGAAGCTGCTGAGCGTGAAGGCGACACCGAGGTCAATACTGCCCGTGGCAAGCGCGCAGAACTCTATGCACGTATTGGCGACAAGGACAAGGCCCTCGAAGCTTTCGAGAAGCTCTTGGAAAAGACTGGTATCCTGGCATCCAAGATCGACATTGTTCTGGCCATCATCCGCATCGCCATGTTCTTCGACGACAAAACCCTGGTCAAGAAGAGTGTTGAGCGCTGTTCAGCCTTGGTCGAATCTGGTGGTGACTGGGTATGTTGCAGCTCCTGCGTCGAACGAGCCATATCTAACATACATCACAGNGACCGTCGCAACCGCCTAAAAGCTTACCAAGGTCTCCACCTCATCACCATCCGCTCCCATGCTGCTGCCGCTCCCCTCCTTCTCGACTCTCTCAGCACCTTCACTGCCACCGAGCTTTGCTCATACAGTAACCTGGTCGTCTACGCTGTCCTCGCTGGTAGCGTGGCTCTTNNCCCTCGCCGCGACTTCAAGTCGCGTGTCGTTGACGCTCCTGAGATTCGCGCCATTGTCGGTTCCGAAGACGCCAACGAGAGACTCGCCGGTCTTTCAGGTGCTGTTTCCTCGCAACCATCAGCCGGCACTGACACAAACGCCATGGACGTTGACACCACCTCTTCAGCCACCCCCAGACCCGCCGTCGTAAACCTCACCACTTTGAGTTCAGGTTCCGCCGAGCAAGAAAAGGCCGAACCCGAGATCGACTTCTCTCCTCTTGCTCAGATGATCCGCTCTCTCTACTCAGGTCACTACCAAAACTTCTTCCGCGCCCTTAGCACAGTCGAGACCCAGTTCCTCGCCCAGGATCGCTACCTCTATGAGCATCGCCGCTGGTACGTCAAGGAGATGCGCCTGCGCGCATATGCACAGTTGCTGCAAAGTTACAAGGTTGTTGGCCTGGAGAGCATGGCTCAGAGTTTCGGAGTCAGTGTTGATTGGTTGGACCGTGATTTGGCTCCGTTCATTGCTAGCCAGCGCCTCCCTTGCACTATCGATCGTGTCAAGGGTGTCATTGAGACACAACGTGCTGGTGACAAGAACAAGCAGTAAGTTTTGCATATATCTACAGTATTAATGACAGTCACTAATCTGAAGCCACAGNNGTACACTGATGTCGTCAAGCAAGGTGACCAGCTGATTACCAAGCTTCAAAAGTACGGCCAAGTCGTCAGACTGCGCGGTAGCGAGAGAACCTAATTGCTTTAAACGAGCAGGTAAACATAATGCATGATGGTCAGGGGAATGACATGAACAGGTGTGTACCATAGAAGAAACAAATGAGCAGAGACAAGCATACACAAGGAAGCATGCTTGCCTGTCATATTCAAAGTCAATGAAAGGAAATATTGCACCCAAGCCCAGTGTTCGTTCAGTCACGCCAACCACAATTGTGGAAGTGTTTTGATTCTTTGCATTTGGCATTTGAAGATTCGTGCAGCAATGACCACAGCAAAAATAATTTGCATGTTTTGAGAGTCAACTTTGAGAACGCTGAGGCGTATGTTCCAGCCTGAATGCTAGGTTGTCGTCTATCGCAACATTTGAATGTCCAGCTCTTGGTTGGATTCACCTTTGGTTCGTGTCGCGTTTACTACGTCTTGCAGCAACAGCTAGTGTCCAACCATAACACGAACAGTAACATAGTCTTCTGTTAGAGCTTTGCTAGAAATCAAATATGCCAAAATCGACCAGATGTGTTGTTTGATGGAGATATTTTGTAAAGACAGAAAGAGAGACAGGGTTGTAGGGATAACGAGAAGCTCGGCGCACCTTCCCCGCAAAGACCCCCGAGGCGCGACCTCACGCATCATCAGCGGCCTCGTTGATGAGAGTCGCAATTGCATACACACAATCAGACCAAACATGTCGTCAACAGATATCGCTTCTTCGTTCGTCGAGGACGCTCCGCCAGGCGAGGTATCACATNNTCTACTGTTCGAGTGTGCAGAGTGTAGAAGCTAACTCCTGATAGCTGTCCAATGTCATCACCGGTATACACACAGCGCCCACTCGACCCCTTACGCCCAACACTTACGAACTACTCCAGACATCAAGGCTCTGACACCTTCCGAGTCAAGTTTGATTTCCATGATCTCTCCTGCCCTCACCAAATACCACGAGACACAATTCAGCGCAGTCAAGCTCCCGGGCAGTAGCGGCAGCGTTCTTGTCAGCGAGTACAACAGCCTGGGCAACAACCGCTACTACGACAGCGCAAACAACACCGCTTTCGACTTTGATCCTGTTGAGCANAAGGCTTCCAATGCTCAGAGCCACTCTCTCGACAGCCAAAACGCCGACCTGATCCAGAAGCTTCACAAGGCCCTCTGTGCGCACGCCGATGAACACTACCCTGCTGCCACTGTCGGTGTCTTCCCAGCCGAGAACGACTCCAAGATTGCCCTTGTACTCGTTAGCAACAAGTACAGTCCCAACAACTTCTGGTATGTCCAGCTTGGTCTGTCCCCCCAAAAGCACAAGACTAATACAGGAACAACAGGNAACGGTCGTTGGCGCGCACATTACCTGTTCTCTCCCTCCAACTCCTCCCTCTCAGGTGCCATCAACATCGACGTCCACTACTACGAAGACGGCAACGTACGCCTGCAGACCTCCAAGCCCGTCTCAATCTCCAACGCCAGCGACGCCGTTCGCGAAATCGCAAAGCTCGAAAAGAGCTACCAAACAGAAGTCAACCAGGCTTTCACAAAACTCAACGAGGGTGCCTTCAAGGGCCTGCGAAGACAGCTTCCAGTCACCCGCCAAAAGGTCGAGTGGGAGAAGATTAGTGGCTACAGAGTAAGTTATGCAAGTTCGAGCATATATCTTTGTTTTTGACTAATGAATCATAGNCTTGGCCAAGACATTGGTGGCGGTCGCTCCAGATAGAATCGCGAACAACCATAGCTCCTTTCCCTGTTCCACAATCATCATACCCGCATGTCTTCCAACGAGCGAGAAGCCGTGTTTGCAGCCCGAAGTTCCGTGTCAAAGCTCCTGTCCACACCAGTGACCCCAATTCCTAGATGAAGCTTGGATATCTTCATCGACCGTACATCCATGTTGTGCTTGTGAAAGGGAAAGATCATCCGGGCAAGTCTTAAAAAGCACCACCATCGTAGACCGTCCTCTAGCTGAAATCTCTGCTTTACTTAACCTTGTGAAATTCAGACTGTGCTCGTGCTCCCCAAACCCCAAGATCTTCGGGACCCTGGTGACATGCGACACTACGGGTTCATGCAGCTTCCCGCACCCAGACACCAGCGGTAAACAGCTTTGGAGCTATTAGGCAACCACGGAAGCTGCATGCTCTGCTGGCGGTGACCTGCAGGTTGGAGCTTCCTAGCTTGAGAGCTCTGTTGTCATGGCTCCTTCTTGCCAACGGATATATCTGCTCTCTTTCCTGTCGAACAGAACTTTCCTTCCTTCCTTCCTTCTTCTCTGTTCGTGTCAGAGGTTTGTGATGTGAGTTTTTCTTTTCTTTTGTTTTGTCTTTTGTCTTTTGATCATCTGAAGAGAAAGAGTTGGAACATGTACCGTGGATTTTCTTTTTGTCGTTTTTTTCTAACATCTTTTGTTTTTTTACCCCCTCTTCTTATATAGGTTGTGGAAGGCTGCTGCTGCCGCCACTACAGCACTGTATGTCTTCTCCCTTGTGATTTTATATATACGCTTGTGTGAGGATATCATCATGCACCACATGGCCTTTCAAAAGTCTTGTTCGCTCGGACTTCCATTCCGCTTCCTACCACTTCTTCCTGCATTCCAAGAAACACGAAAGAGATGGAATTCCGATCCGTCTGAAGGCGCGGCTGCTGGCATCTCCTGGAGATATCAACCCTACAGCAAGACTCATTTGAGACCACTTCAAGCCTCTCGAAAGACTGCTGCCATGGCATCGTTCACCTTTTTTCTTTTTTTTCTCGCTTTTTTCTTTCTTCATGATTATATATACTTGGCAAGAGGGTCTCTCCGAGTGGGCCCCAACCGATCTAGGTCTTGGTCTGAGCCTGAGCAGGCCATATCGTACCTTGCTCAGTATCTGTTGAGCGTCAGACGATGCTCGCGACATGCATCTGACCATGTCCATCAGAGGAATGTCTGGCAGCGACAACGTACTAAAGTCACAAGTAAGTTGACCTATACCCTGACAGTATGATCAAGCTGACATTGAGTAGGCTTGGTATATACACCGCGACAAAGTCCAAAGTAGCCTTTCTGTCAAGGACTATACACTCCTGGTCCATGTTTCGGAAAGCACTCACAGCTTCATTCTACGCTCAAGACTATCTCTCATCTGGGCACGAAACATCCTGACTGGTGATGCTTTATCGAGTGGTTCAGTCCTGGAGCTGGCAAGTTCTTCGGCATCAACACCATGTTACTATACATTGATGCGTCGATATGGGGCCACACCTGTATGGTGGCGCTGCTCAGTACAACTCTGCACCTCACGCTCCTCTCAACTTCGACCCGTGTGGTGACGCCACTGAGTACTTTGAAGACACAAGTACATCAACGTCGATGAGACTGCAAGCGTTTCTGAGTAGCGACGTTGGCTTACACCTGTTGACCACACCTCTAGCGACATCACTCAGCTTGAGCGTCAGCGTGTCCAGGACAAGTTTTGAGCTGCCGTCTCGAATTCATGGTCTCGACATACAGTGTCAATCTACGCGGCATGAACTACGACGTCCTCGATACTGTAATTCTTTACGACCTTCCGTCAGAAGCCAGTGTTTGCAACCAGTCATCAGCACGTGTTGCTTCCCACTGATCAATCGAAACAACCATCAGCTTTCTGCGGCCGTGAAGATCAGGCTCTCATGGAGACGTACATGACTGACGTTCGTCGCGCTCCAGGAGTTGAGCTATCGATTGACAATGAGCTATAGCAAGGCAATTCACGGGCAAGACCTTCAGAACTTCGCACCACTCCAAAGCTCCCTCTTCACCTCGTCAGTGACATCACTGATCCCTCATATGGCTCCTCGGACTATGGTCGCTGCTGGAACCCCTAGCCACGTCGTTCTGCCGCTTACCTGGCCAGCTCTTTGCTCTCTCATTGCCTTGACAGATCGACCAGGCACAGTTTCAGGGCATCGACACAAGGTGAACATGCAGACTCAATCGAGGCTTTTTAATGCTCAATTCTATGGTGAGCACTTGTCGCTGGCGAATGTTTCGCTTCCTTCACAATCAACACCCCCAACCAAGACGGTACTGTGATCGGGTTCTTCATGCAACACGAGGATTGCAAAAAAGCACAGAGCAATGTGGCATACTATCTCTTCTATATATCCTGGTGCGGAGACTTCACGAAACCCAGCATTCACGAAACCTTGGTTCCTGGCCTTGTTCTCCGTTGATGCCTTGTCTCTCTTCGTCTGCAAAAATCACGCAACAGCCGGCGTTCTCATCGGTCTAGAGACGTGCGCTGGCATTCCCTAGGAATCAGCACTACAACAAGACTCATCTGCGGTCACATCAAATCTCCCGGAAGACCCCTGCTATGGCGTGTTCCTACCTTTTGTTTTCTTTTCGTTTGGTCCTCTCTTTGGTCTTTCTTGTGTCTTTTATTTTGCTCGTATATATCTGGCGAGAAAGACTCTACGAGCTTTTCCTGCTTGCCTGATCTTGAGTATGCCGTGTGGCTACGTTCGCGTGCGACCTCCCCATCGCCAACACGCTGACGCTGATGTGTATGTCAAGATCACTATATGTGAGTCTCGTCTATTTGTTCTGTCTATATCGATGTCTGACCATATGTACAGAAGGAGTGTCTTGGATGTGGCAAAGAGGCCATTACGCCTTTCCCAATCCTTTTGTCAGCCGCTGTCACTCCTCATCATGCCACCTCGTAGTGAGTGGTTGTGATGACATCCGAGGTAAGATGTTTCATATCATAATCCAAGCTTATCATCAAGCTGACATCGAGAAGGCCCAGTATCTACACCAGTCAAGTCGAAGACGGTCTCGTCGTCAAGGACTATATAACATCATTCCCAAAATCTGCGGCCCTCTTCCCGAGTATCTGCAGTGGGATGAGTACCGTATTTGCTTGTTGTGGGTTGAGACCACCAACTCGAAGACCGAGAGGTACCCTGGCTCAGCATCTATTGCCAACGGTTACCATATCGCAGACGTCATGGACAAAATTCTGCCTGCTCTTCAGAAGGAGTATCCTGACAAAGTTGCGGATAGATGCATGATCATCACTCCATACAGCCTCCAGAAGGAGACGTATGAGCGCGCCTTTCATGAAGAGAGATGCAAAGGCGTTCTCAGCGATGATCTGCCCCAGGTCTTGACTGTCGATAGCCGTGTCCGTGTTTAAGCCACTCGTTTCGCTCGAAAGTGGCCAAGACCTTACGATGAACATTGGCAGCTTCCGATCGTTGTACTTCATCTGGCTCTACATCGTCTCAAAGGTACAACCCCACATGGCTGAGAACGGCTCTATGTTTATGGACGCCATGCTCCATTCGATCGGTTGTGGACACTCAGCATGAATGGTGCTATGTGGTAATGAGCAACAACATCGGTGACGCTGTATTTTGTGATGGACATGGTGCCGCTTCCAAGAAGTTGTCGAGCAGCAAGAAGGGCAATTGCAAGGTTTGCAGCTATAGATCTGACAATGTCTGAGTGGGGTTTCGTCCCGAGCAAGGCAACAGCTCAAAAGCTCAAGAAGACGGTCCTCAAGAAGCAAGATGTCCCCAAACCTGAGGCCGCTCTGGAAACTCATGCTACAATCGACGCCAAGCGCGAGAAAAGAATCAACAACGATGCCACTATCAGATCCGTTACCAGGAACATGAGCAAGAAGGTCGACCAGAATTCAACCGTCAAGCCTTAAACCTTCGCCAACAAAGAGTCTGCTCTCCATGCCAGCAAAGGCACAAAGGTAGCCGACAAGAGCACCATGTCTTGCGAGATCAACTCATATGTCGCCATCAACGCTTCTTCCACCTCTCAGACCTTCGTGGCTGACCAAGTCAACCCCACTTCCGCTTCCGAAGACTTCTCCGACGGCGATCTCTGGTGGCTCTCACGCCGAACGTCGCAAACAGGCCAATCTGGCTGCATGTGGTAGCCTCCACGCTAACAATCTGTTGATGGAAGTGACCCTCCACATCCGTGGTGGTGAGACTATCCCCGCCCACAAGTTCGCTTTCTCCATGAGATCTGAGTACCAAGACTGGGTTGGCCTCTACCCAGAGGAAATCGGAGAGACTTAAGGTCGCCCCGATACCCAGTGCTACCCCAACCAGGAAGACGGCACCAAGCCGGCATACATGACTAGCCCCTTTATTCGCAACAAGTTCGGGCCTCTTTACTCCCGCGCCAAGGCTGAGCAGAAGACTTTGGGTGTCTGATCTGGTCTGCCCAGCTTGCCTAGCTTGCCCACTGCGGCTCTCGATCACAGGGTTTTCGTGCATCCAAGCCGATGATCAGCTTTTCTGCCACCGACATCTGCTTTGATATCGTTTGGAAGATGATGGCGATCCTTCCATGTGTCGGTTTTCACCTCTGTTGGAAGCACCAAGGGACCGGTATCAGCAACCAGCAGTTCTCCGCTGAATCCGTGCAAGAGGTAGCAACCAAAAACCTTTCCGATTGACACCCCTCTAGCATCTGATGATGCGCATATATGGAGCCAAGTACTTGGAAACCACAATTACGATGACATACACAGATGTTTGAGTTATTGCCAGGGTTTTGCGAAGCCCCTCTCATGTTGCCCCCCTTTTATCAACCGATGGTATATGGAGTGCTACAGTACCTCAACTGCCGATATCTCGGATTCTTGCTTTCCGATACCCAGATTATGATCCTCAATCGGCCTACAATGTCAACCCACACCATTCCTCTTCAATGTGTGGAGTACGATCTTATGATGGTCTTGTTTGACGATGTGGAGCAGAATCTGGTACAGCCCATCATTTTCCCTATTGCAATGAGCTGTTGGTTGGCACGTCTTCCATGCCACAAGATCTGGTTATCCAGATGCTGAGGGCAA